GGTCATATTTAACTTTTATAATAATTTTATTTTGGTATTAGGGTATTCCTTGTGCCAACAAAATGACAAGGGGTAAAAGTGAAAATACAAAAATTAAGTTCTTTAAGAAGGGCATGTACTATGCACGTGTGCAAATGAAACTAAAACGGTGAAAATGAAAAGCATTTAGCTTTTGAAAGATTTTTTAATACTTTTTAAAATGTATTAACTCAGTGATTGGATTTAAAGCTTATAATAAAGTCATAAATATTGACATTATATGTCATCAGAACAGTAATTCAATAAGAATGGTGGTGAATGGTCAAAGAAGACATGCAAGGACAAAACCCTAAACTGGTTCCACACAAATTACATCAAACTGCAGCCAAAAGACTCAAACCCTTGTGATTGATCAGATGTCAATTTGCCCTATGTATGCATTTATGTCATTGAATTGAAGATAGACAGTTTTAGAAGGAGGATTAGGACCAAGAAGACCATAAATGTAACCGCCTAGTTGAGTGGGTTGAATAACTTCTTACATGCAACTGGTTTGAAAGGAGACCTGGACCAACTATTAAAGCTTTTGTTTAATGTTTGGACGATTCAACCACTACTGCCCCCTTTGGCTTTTTATTTTATTAAAACATCTTAATCAATTTTTCGTAAAGAAGTATTTGTTTTGCCATTTGAAAATAATAATATTATAACTTATATCGAATAGAAGGGCATGGTTTCATGGTTATTTATTCTGAAAATAGTAATATTATAACTTATTTCGAATAGTGGTTGCTTGTATTAATTTTATTAGGGGTAAAAATGATATTTTCATTTTCATTTTTCTTTTTTGTTATATTTATTCAAATAGACAGTACGGTTAAAGCTGTAATTTTCCATTATCATCTAATGGAAGGTCAATTAAGTAAACCAATTGCAAACTATAGGAGTGTTTTAATAAAACACATTTATGAGTAGATTTTAGTAAATCTATGAAACTATACGGGGTGTTTCACTAAATGAACCTATTTTTAACACGTTCAATTGGGTCTTCACCAAAATTTAGAGGGGATTTTAATTGGTCAAAGCCTTAATATTTATATTATATTTAGCTACTGTAGCAGCCACTCTCCACTTTTCTATATCCCTCCATTTCTCTAGTTTTTGAATTTTAAAATCATAAAAATGACCAAAAGGCATTATTGACTCATTAATTGTCATTTGAAACGTCTATCAATATATTCATTTGATATAGTATTAATTCTATATTCTGATTCTTACAAAACTAAATACAAATATTAATATAAGATTGGATGTTTAATAATATTACAATTATTTTGTTGTTTCATTCCTAAAAAATATTCTATACTATTATTAACTCCCTCCAGATTTATCGTTATTTTGTGTATAATATCCACGTCTAATTATTTTTGAATTTTGATAAAAAAGTTATAAATTATCAATTAGGGACTACTCTTGAAATAGTTCAATATTTTCTGTCTGAATACGAAGAAGCTTTAGGATGTCATAGGGCTCCTTGTCAATTTCTTTTGACAATGCTTGCGAATTGCATGGGTCGAATCCAATTACATCAAAATCCAATTTGATTATTGAAATTGGTGTACAGGTGCCTTGAATTTCAGTTGTAAATCTATTCTATGTTCCAATTTGATTAAAATTAAAAAAAACCCTGAAGACAAAATTTCATAGTCAAGGGTATGGAGAGGTAGAGCTCCTGCAGTATCGCATGGCAATCACAATTTTGTTAGTTGCACATGAGACTCACAGGATATTCAGAATCACAAGTTATCTGGATTCGTGAAATCTATTACTTAGTAGTTTGTGGGGCCGACCCAATTTAGGGTTTTTGTATACCCTTATATTTTGCACAGAACGTAATCTTGTATCTTGAGAGTCAAGAAAGAGGAGCTGGAGAGTGTGCAAGATAAGAGGAGAGGGAATTTTGGGTGTAACGGTTTGTTGAGATGTTGGTGAATATTTTTGTTTGCTTTGTATTGCTCTATTTTACTTCTTCTCTAGTTTTGTTTTATTTTTTGCTTGTCAGTCATTTTTCTTATGTGTTTGTCACTTTCTCAACAAAAAGTTCAAATCCAAAATCTGATATATTGGACTTTTGGATAAAATTTGAATTTAAATTAAATCCCCTTTATTGTTCTTATTAAAATAAATAAAATTTAAAATAGTTTAACTAGTTTTTAACTTATAAATATATAATAATTTTATATAAATACAAGTATTGATTTCGTTGATTACAAACTTTATTTAATTATATATGATACCTATATACATGCATAATTATCTAACATACATGATACAAAAACTTAGATAAAAAATTGGCCATGCTTATGGCATTATATATTGGTCCAGTCAAATGTTTTGATGGTTAAACCATAGGGATCACTAGGTCATTGGCTGAGTTTATTTTTTGTTTTTTGTTGTTGGTAGAAAGGGAAAATTATAGGAGGCAAGGGAAAGCTCTTCTTGCCAAGTCCATGAAAATTTGAAAACAATGGTGATGTTTGGCACCGGAGCATTTTACAAGCACTTCTAATTTACAAGTGATTCATTTCACTTGTTTTTTTTGAGAAATACACAAAAAAAAAGGGATGCAGCTGATTGGGCTTTTAAAGTGATTTGACTTAATATTATAATATATTTATAATGACAACCGTGTGATATCTCAAAAAGTAGTCAATTTTTTTAAATTTCAATGTGCCATTTCGTCAGGGTGATTCTGGATCACCAAGGCAATTCAAGAAACGAAAATTTGATGTTTCAAGAAACCCTTCTTTTTTCGAATCCCAAAGCTAATCAGTAATATGAAACAGGGCTGCCAAATGCTTTTTTTACTATTCCTTTGAATCGTTGATATACAGGGTGTTTGGTTCTGTGGGCATTTATTCAGTAAACGCTACCACATAGGCGCCACTTCAACATTTTCTCTCTTTTGCTCTTCTATATGCATCGAAAATGATAAAAGTGAACTTTGGTTTTTGTGCATGCCAACCATTTGTGGAATTTACTTTTTTTAAAGTTTCCACAAATGGCCAGGCGTTTTTTCACTATTACGCTAATGTAGAGCCTAGTGGCGCCTAATTGTCATAAACGGTTATAATTATTATATTGCTTGGTTTTACCAGCAAATAAAGTTCAAACGTTTATTCAATAAATATAAACGGAACCAAACACATACATGGAGTACATGACATCAACATCTCCTCTCCTTGATACACTTTGTTTGGTTCCCTTCCCTGTGGGTATATACTATTTGGTTATGTTGTTGTGGACCCTAACCCTAACCCTAACCCAACCCAACCTTCAACCCATCCAATACAACCTTAACCTTAACCTTAACCCTAACCCTAACTAAATTCCTTTAACCCTAACCCATCCCAACCCAACCCGAAGTCAGTTTCTGGTTTCGGGTTGGGTTGGGCCCAACCCAACCTTCTTCCCATCCCTTAAAACCTCATAGAATTTATTGATTTTAGATCTTAACTCAATTTTTACTACATAATTCTATATTTCATCAGTATTTGTTTGTTGACGTTTTTTTTTTTTTTGGTTCTTTTGGTTCAAATTAAATTTAGAAAAACAAGTGTTAGAAATGACTATAGTTTATTATGAGTTATGACTTACGATAGATCTTTCTTGGGCGACAAACAACATGGAGTAGATGAAGAATAAAATTTTCAAAAAAATATAAAATAATATTGTTAAGGTTTTAGTCATTCTAATTAGTATTAAGTAAAGTGATTATCTTAAAAGAAATACATGATGCTATGCGGTGGGGGCTATACAAATATCATGCATCTAAACAAATTGTGACCGATGAATCCTCAACCTGTATACGTAACTTGTGGGCCGGACCTCGAGGGTAGCGCCCATATTTCCGTTATAGTTATTGATGTTTTCCCAACTGTTACCATCTTAGCTGAGTAGACGTCCAAGCGTTGTCTGTCATCCTCTTTGAAATAACATTCAATTAATAAATTCCATAGTCACACATGTCTTTGACTAATATCCCACCTAAAACCCCATCAAGGCAAGAAATCCCAAACCCATCCCCAGTATCCCCAAATCTTTCGTGCCCTGCATAACTTGCATGTCATTCTTAATTGCAAAGTTATTTATTTTTTTCCTGAAACTTACCTATGACTATATTATATTATGTTGTGTAATATAGTATAATATAATATAAATTAATAGTTTATATATAATATATAGTGAGGACAGGTTAGACATCAGGGCTGGGGTAAGGTGGTCAAATGCCATCCCCGCCCCATCTCCAGTTTCTAGAGTTTTGGGTTTCCCTGAAAATTCCCCGAACCCTAATCAATGATCAAAAAAACTTGCCTCCACTGGGGCAAGGCAAATTGCCATGTCCGGTGGAAAACATGGCAATGGAACCAAACACCACCTACCTAAACTATTAAAAGATCTGGCAATAAATACTGGGTACAAAAGACTTGTGATATTTCTAAGGCTTGTGTAGCTACAAGCTAGGTGCATGAGCTGCTTTGTTTCCCCCATCATGGAACGAAGAAGCACTAAACACAGAGCAACCGGAGAAATTAACTGATGATGGATCTGCATAGGATAAAAGATTTAGCTATATTAATTAGCCATGGAGGATCAAAAGCATCGTCCAACAGAAAAAAAAAAAAAAGCATTAATTGGATACATTCAACTCTTTATTAGCAAATTTAAGGCCCTCCAATAGCGCCTGCGCAAATCAAAATTCTCCAACTATACAGTCGTGAGGAGTCCGCCAACAATGACCACTGATCTGATTAGTCCTACTCACACCCAAAGATGAAGATCGACACCGGTATGAACTCAAATTTCTAGTTACAAGTTCAAATAAACCAGCGAGCGTCATATTTGACTGCATCTAAATTGGTAAAAAAAAAGTATTTGATTAACTGTTCACTACAAAACCCAACTATATAAATGAGGGAAGAGGGTGAGAGAAAGAAAACACAGAGAAGTCAATAGCTAGAAGCAATGGAGCTTCAACTTGTACTTGTCAAGATGTTGTTTTCCCTTGCTTTGCTTGGTTTTCTCAGCTTGTTTTTGCATCTCTACAGGGTTCTTTTGTTAAACCCACAGTTGCTTCGATCCAGACTTGAAAAGCAAAGGATCAAAGGTCCTCCCCCTACCTTTATCTTTGGAAATGTTCCAGAGATGAAGAGGATGCAAAATTCCAAATCAACAGCATTGGTGGCTTCAAACAAGGAAAAGCTATCTCATGATTTTGCTTCTACCATCTTCCCTTGTTTCGAGAAATGGAGAAAGGAATATGGTAAACAATGTTTATTGAGTTCTGATCAGGATATGAAACCCAATCCAACCACTGACCATTTAGATGATCTGATCAATCAATTGATTGTTATAATTAACGATTCTTTTTTTTTTTAGTTGGTTTTTATACTGAACATGTTTAATTATCAACTGTTAATATATACAGGTGATTTGTTCACGTTTTCCCTTGGAAATCTACAAATATTGTATGTGACAAACCCTTATCTGGCCAAGGAAATGACCCTTTGTTCATCCATGAGCTTGGGGAAGCCTGGATACCTACAATATGAATTTGGGCCTTTGCTTGGGAGGGGCATTTTGACGTCAAATGGATCAATCTGGTCTCACCAGAGAAAAACCATAGCTCCGGAGTTATCCATGGATAAGGTTAAGGTAACCATGCATACAGTACTTCACTAATGGCTAATTATATATAAAACTGGAAGACTCAACTTAGCACTTGTCTGAACTAGTCAATTTGAGTCTTTAGTGAAAACCCATGTGCAAATCTTATTGCAGGGAATGGTGAACTTAATGGTGGAGTCTGCAAGCTCAGTAGTGAAAGAATGGCAAGGGAGAATTCAAAGTGAAGGAGGAGTTGCAGAGATAGGAGTTGATGAGGACATGACCCGCATTTCTGCACTTATAATCTCCAAATTTATGTTTGGCAGCAGCTTCTCCAAAGCACTTGATATAATTTCAAAGCTCAAAGACATACAAAATGCCTTGACTATGTCAACCATTCTTAAAGGGATTCCCGGCTATAGGTATATATGCCTTTATCTGAGGGAGAGAGAGAGAGAGAGAGCATATATATTGATATATATATATATATATATATATATATTTATACTGTGGAAATTTGGAAATGTGTTCAGATACATTCCAACTGAGAACAACAGAAAAATATGGAAACTAGAGAAAGAGGTCCGTTCAATGATCTTAAAGATTGTAAAGGAACGAGTAGCAGAAGATAAACCTGGGCAAGATTTATTACAGATGATAATTGAGGGTGCAGAGGATGGTAGTCTAGGCGGTCCATATACTGCAGAAGATTTCATCCTCGACAATTGCAAGAACGTCTACTTTGCTGGGCTTGAAACCACTGCAATTACAGCCTTGTGGTGCTTCATCTTGCTGGCTTCACATCCTGAATGGCAAGATCGTTGCCGTGCTGAGATACTAGAAATTAGTGGAGGATGCCTACCAGACGTAGATATGCTTCGCAAGATGAAAACGGTATATATACATATATATATATGATCAATATTCTGATGAACTTAAATCACTCTCTCTCTCTCTCTGTCTCTCTCATAAACTGATTAATGGACTACTACATAATATATATATTTCATTGATTGATTCTTGGCAGACAACAATGGTGATTCAAGAGGTGCTGCGTCTTTATCCACCAAGCTTGTTGCTGTCCAGAGAAGTTCTGCAAGATATCAAGTTGGGAGAAATTCTTGTGCCCAAAAGCGTCAACATTTGGCTCTCGGTGCATGCATTACACCGAGACCCTGAACTTTGGGGACCTGATGCCTGCAATTTTAATCCTGAGAGGTTTGCTAATGGAGTTGCAGGTGCATGCAAGCTTCCACAAACTTACTTGGCATTTGGCATGGGGTCTCGGATTTGTGCGGGGCAGAACTTTGCCATGATGGAACTGAAGATCATCCTCGCCCTCATCCTATCAAACTTCTCCTTCTCACTCTCTCCAAAGTACCATCACTCCCCTGTGTTTAAAATTATCATACAGCCTGGTGATGAAGTGAAGCTTATTGTGAGGAAGGTTTGAGTCTTGTATCTAGTTTTAGTAATAAATATTAGAAAAAGGGGTAGACATATAGTTTCTTTTGGTAATAGTTGTAATGGGTAATATATATTTTGTATTTATCTAAAAGTGGATACTTGCCTTTGATTCATAAAAGTTAAATCACATATTTACCAACATTATATTTTATAACAGTTTTCAGTTTTATTCTTTCATCTAAAGCATGTGTTTATTCTAGTAATAAATAATTAGTATGATTGTGTATAAAAGACCATCTATTGCATCCATTAGAAGTGATATATATATATATATATATATATATATTAAAAGTTCAAGGGGACTAGAAGAGTTAATGGTAGACTGAAAGAGAGGCAGATAGAAGTAATAAGAAATTATTTAAGCACCCATAATTTGAAGATGAATGATATGGAACTGAAGAATGGCACAGGATTCATGTAGGGATCCCCTATAGTTGGGTTTGGTGTATTTCACCTTTGTAATGAATTTCAGTGTAAAATAAAAAAGGGTAAATTACATATAGGTGTCCTCTACTTTGGGGTAGTGACAGATAGATACCCTGAACTTTCAAAAATAGACACTTAGGTCCATCTGTTAGTATTCCGTCAGTTAAACATTACATTGTCAAAAATATATACCCTTCTCATGTATTTCTGAGATCGTTTTCAGGTAACCAAACTTCTCCCTATGATGACGTTCTCAAATGGGCATCAAATAACATATTCAAATTTTCCGATGATGACATTCTCTGGTGATGATTTTATTTCATTGAATGATCTAAAAAATACACTAGAAGGGTATTTTTGATATTATGTAATGTTTAACTGACGGAATACTAACGGATGGACCTAAGTGTCTATTTTTGAAAGTTCAAGGCACTCAAGTGTTGCAATTGAAAGTTCAGGCCAATAAAAAAGTAATAAAATTTTAAGGGCATTTTCAAGAAAAGAAGACCTTGAAATCTCTCTCTCACATCTTTCCTCTCATTAAACAATGAAGGTTCTCCACCTCTCTCTTTCCTTCATCAGTCAGCTTGAATTTAAATACCTATTTTTCTCGGCAATTTCTGAACAGAAAATCTGTTCCTTCGACTTTCAAGGTTTCTTAATGTGAAACAATGGCGCCTCCCAAAACCTGGAGGAAAGCCCAAGAAAGTAGGAGTCATTCTTGCTCTAGATGAGGGAGGGCCATTCCCGCACCGCCTGTCGGTCCGGTCGTTACGATTCAGTGTTTGTGGGCTGAGTTAGAACTTCATAAAACTAATTTGTTAGCCTTTTGAATCTTGGCTTAACGTTAGTATTCATTCTTTTATTGTCTTACTATTATGCATTATAGAACAATAACCACCACTACATGACAATTTGTTCATGAAGACTTACCATGTTAAAGATGGCCTTTTAGAAGGAAAAGAAACAATTATATATATACCATAATTATTATATAATTATATATTATTATATATATATAATATATATATACGGCATAGTCCGATTTACACCTTTAGGTAAATCCCAACAATGTTACAGTCAACCCTCACTTTAGATAGGATTGCAACTTGGGTTGGTCCGAGTCTCCGCGAGTTGGCATTTTGCACTGTGTTGGGCTTGGGCCTTTGATCAGGTGCATTCAAATTTTGGCAGAAACCCAACTTGACCCCTCCCAAGTTGTAGCCCTATCTCTAGCCCTTTCATCGTGCTAGATTTTTATTAAAAAAAATCAAAATTATAAGAGGATGTAGATGTCAGCCTATTTCTCTTGCCAGGGAAACTTTGCAACTGTTCTATGGCTTTCCATGAGTGATATCTACCAGCTAGCTATCAGCTGGTATTGGGTCACGTCGCAACTCCTATTGGTAAGGTGACCATTCGAATACATCCAGAGATTTTGTGCTCGAAACTTTGATAATAAACCTCACTTTCCTGACCGGACCGTGGCAGGTTGAGAATGAGGAATTTTAAAATATTTATAAGCTTGGAATCATCATTTTCTATGTTCTTAACAATAAACATATGAAAGGGTGTATTTATTTAATTTTTTCTGAAATGTCCCGATGAAGCAATATTAATATTTCATATAGTTCATTTGGACAAGAAGGACATTCTATCAAAAACAAGGGGGGATATGATGATTCATTTGTTAGTGAGTGAAGACTGAAAGGAAACTCAGAATATAGGGGTTTTGGTGAAAACAAAAAACTCAACTTTTACTCGTTTGCTAAGAGGAAAGAAAAGCTACAAAAGTGAACGCAAGTTTCTGATATCAACATACATTAGGGCTGCAACTTGGGTGAGTTGGATGAGAATCGACCCAAGCCCAACATTAAGATTCAAACTTGAAGCTTGGACCTGGCCCAACTTAACCTTAGTTAAAAACAATTTTGGCTACGATCAGGTTTGGCTTTGATTTGAAGTAATTTTTTAATATCTTTTATGCATTTATCTTTTATTGGGCTTTGTAACTAAATTTAGGAGTAGAATGGATTGAAAATATTCACAAATGTCATTCAACATCATCATCATCTAAGCCTTATCCTATCTATGTGGGGTTGGCTACATGAATCCAGTTTCACCATGCCATTTTATTTAGTTGTTAAGTTTACAAAATCATGCAATTAATAAATAATATATATATATATATATACATGGCTATGAGTTTTATGTTAATCATAGACATATTGTAAAAAGCAAAAAATAGTTTAAGATGTATATAATAGTATAAATATGTAATATACATAAATGTATATGTTATAAATAACAACACAATATATAAATATATGTATATGTGTATATAATAAATGTTGTGGAAGCTTGGGCTACCCACAACCCAAAGACTGAGGTTCAATGTGTGTAAAAGCTCAGGTTAGATTGGGTCAGGTTTGAGTTGGGCCTCCCCAATTTACATCCCTAATCAATACTAGTGGTGGCTTACCAACTGAGCTAAATAAGAATAGCACCTAGGTGAGCTCACACTTTCTGCCATCACTGCCTTAGCATTTTGTTGCGGTCACCAACAAATAAAACATCCCCACTTGGATTTCCAATTCAAAACACAAGGTGATTAAATGACCCTTTTAAATTTTACATCCCTACTTGATATCAGCTCTGCAAGCAAAGCTATAATACATTTTCTCCATAGCTGTTGCTTCCGTCTGTGCCTCGGGAATGTAAGTTTCTCGTTCTAGGTACTCTTATATTTCCTAGATGCACAAAATTTGGTTTGAAATAAAATTCGTGGTTTGATATCTGTTGAAATAAAATCAGAATTCTAGCTAGAAAGTAGAAACATATAATGAAAATAATAAAAGCAGAATAAATAAATATTAAAATGAGGAAAGCAGAACTACCAGCCCCTACCCCTTCAACTTGCAACAAAGTACATCTTCCTAACGTCACCCACTTCAATTTCATTTGCATGCCCACATTAGCTGAATGCATGAATAACATCCTAACTGTTAGTATCCAATTTTTGTTCGGTCCCTTCACCCTACGTCTTTGTATTCTTCTTTTGTACTCTAAAAAATTGAAACACAAACAGATCAACTTGAGACTTTCCAAACCCGAAAAAACCTTCATTTGACACAATCCATTGGACAAACAAGAACCTTTATCAAACATCGTTCCTAGACTTAAAAAATTATTACTTAGTTATACATCAATTTTCATGACTAAACTCTAAAGATCCACCATTCATTATGCCAATTTCCTTTCTAATGGTCCCGATCTATGCGATATCCAAATTTCAATTCCTCCAAAATCAAATCCAACATATTCATCACCAAGATCATTAGGAAATAATCAACTAGTGAATCCCACCATGAGTCTTCAATAACCAAAGGCAAAAACATCAACATCTCATTCGGATGGCCCTGAATGATTACCAAGATCGGCCATATATTTCCCAGATCAGAATCATCTACTTGACTCCTCACCCTAATCCATTCCTACCTACCAAATTGTAGCCCAAATTCCCTCGTTTAACCCCCCATAAAGCTTAGATCCTATTCCAACAACTCTCATTAATTATAGCTTACCATTCATCATCCCAACCTCATATGACAAATCAGACCTTAACACTATATTCGGAGCCCAAAAAACCTTAGCATGTCAAACCTTATGACCAAACCCCTCCGTTTGACCGTTAAAAAGTAAGATTCCATTTCAAACCCTCTCGTTGATTGAAAAACCATAAGCTAAGATCATGATTTGAACTAAATCAATCAATCTACACATCTGACCAAAGATCCATCACTTCCATTAGATTCAATATGATCAAAAGTGTCAACCCACCAAATTTCATCCAAAAATTCCTCTGTTTGACCCTTCATTAAACAAAGATTCTATTTAAGAAAATCTCGTTGATCCAAACTTGTCAGCCATAGATCTCAATCATCCCAATCCCATTTGTTCGATCAAACCTCACCACTATGTTCAGAGACCCAAAAAATCCCAGGGTGCCAAATTTCATGACCAGACTCATTCATTTGACCGTTAAACTAGAAAGATGTCATTTCAACGCACTAAATTAAATTGCCACATCATCTGTCCCAACCTGAAGCCTTAAAAGGGTATTGGCTGATGTCAAACCATTCTTAACCCATTAAAACACCTGGACCAATAAAACAAAGCCTAATATACCCAAAAAGCTCAAAATACCAAACAAATCCCTACTTAAGACCAAGAAAAGACAAAATAACTTTAAAAAGTTCATCAGATTTACATTTTTTGCCATTGTCAGTCCCAAATACGGGACTGCAACATTTGGCACGCCCCAAGTTCCCCTTGGATGCACAAAACCCATAAAAACCATCCCCAAATTGAAGAAAGTGGTTCACCAAACAGGAAAGCTTGATTAAACATCTATTTCTTTTAAAGAATCTTTGCCTATTTTGTAAAAAACCTCTATTGAATCCTAAGCATTGTAGCTAGGTGAATTTTAGACCCATCTCCCTCCATTTTCTATATAAATAGAGGCCCAATTCGAGCTCAAAGAGGAGGGGGGGGCTTTGAGGGTAAAGACTAAGACAGATGAGGAATGAACCTAAGAGAGAAGAGAGTTTTCCAACTTCTATAACCCCCCATTCTGCTTGAAATCCTGGAATCCCTGAAGCTAAG